ACACAGCCAGTTCCTGACATTATTCCTCATAACCAGTTCCTGACCTTATTCCACACAGCCAGTTCTTGACCTTATTCCACACAGCCAGTTATTGACCTTATTCCACACAGCCAGTTATTGACCTTATTCCACACAGCCAGTTCCTCAAACAAACTCTTTGGTATGAAAATACTGTGGAATTTTCACAGATCTTTGAGTTCACTGGTACATCGCCATCTGCACATATAACACTAGAAGAGCAAGCCCCATGGAAGATTTCATTATAGACAGATACCACTGTAAGACGTCATTGAAAAAGTTGGATAAAAGACAAACATACACCTGACGACGGTAAAGTAAAGGTTAAGAGAAATTTTCTCACAGGCTTCTAATTGTCAAAAATATCATAAAGACTTGCCTTTGCCAGGGGTTATAATACCTGCCACTAGTTATCATAACAACATATCTTGAAAACGTAAGCTACAACATTTTTACTTTTTCTTCCACCTCTATTTCTAAATTAAGGAACATGATCTGTGTAAACCTGTCATTATCATGATTCACAACACACAGCCTGAGGGATCTCAGCTAGCTGTTTTCCCCACCACCATGGGAACATGCAGATTACACCTACACCAGCCCCTTGCTACACAACTACTTCAGGTGTAAGGCCCTGCATCTGTAGCCCTCCAGCCTTTGACTATAGAAACTGTATCTTACGCAAAGCCATGTATCTGTACCCTCTAACCCTAAACTATAGACACTTTATCTTATGTAAAGCCATCTATCTGTACCCTCTAACCCTAAACTATAGACACTTTATCTTATGTAAAGCCATCTATCTGTACCTTCTAACCCTTGACTAGTGACGCTTTACCTATAAGGCCTGTATCTGAACCCTCTAGCCCTTGACTAGTGCCGCTTTACCTATAAGGCCTGTATCTGTACCATCTAGCCCTTGACTAGTGCCGCTTTACCTATAAGGCCTGCATCTGTAGCCCTCCAGCCTTTGACTATAGACACGTAATCTTGCGTAAATCCATGTATCTGTACCCTCTAACCCTTGACTATAAGCACTTTATCTTATGTAAAGCCATGTATCTGTACCCTCTAACCCTTGACTAGTGCTGCTTTACCTATAAGGCCTGTATCTGTACCCCCTAACCCTTGACTAGTGCTGCTTTACCTATAAGACCTGTATCTGTACCCTCAAACCCTTGACTAGTGCTGATTCAGATGTCAGGCCCTGTATATGTACCCTCTAACCTCTGACTAGTGCTGCTTTACCTATAAGGCCTGTATCTGTACCCTCAAACCCTTGACTAGTGCCGTTTTACCTATAAGGCCTGTATCTGTACCTTCTAACCCTTGACTAGTGCTGCTTTTACCTATAAGGCCTGTATCTGTACCCTCTAACCCTTGACTAGTGCTGCTTTACCTATAAGGCCTGTATCTGTACCCTCTAACCCTTGACTAGTGCTGCTTTACCTATAAGGCCTGTATCTGTACCCTCTAACCCTTGACTAGTGCCACTTTACCTATAAGGCCTGTATCTGTACCCTCTAACCCTTGACTAGTGCTGTTTTACCTATAAGGCCTGTATCTGTACCTTCTAACCCTTGACTAGTGCTGCTTTTACCTATAAGGCCTGTATCTGTACCCTCTAGCCCTTGACTAGTGCTGCTTTACCTATAAGGCCTGTATCTGTACCCTCTAGCCCTTGACTAGTGCTGCACTTTACCTATAAGGCCTGTATCTGTACCCTCTAGCCCTTGACTAGTGCTGCTTTACCTATAAGGCCTGTATCTGTACCCTCTAGCCCTTGACTAGTGCTGCTTTACCTATAAGGCCTGTATCTGTACCCTCTAGCCCTTGACTAGTGCTGCTTTACCTATAAGGCCTGTATCTGTACCCTCTAGCCCTTGACTAGTGCTGCTTTACCTATAAGGCCTGTATCTGTACCCTCTAGCCCTTGACTAGTGCTGCTTTACCTATAAGGCCTGTATCTGTACCCTCTAGCCCTTGACTAGCCCTATAACTGTAGTGCTTGACTAGTGCTGCTTTACCTATAAGGCCTGTATCTGTACCCTCTAGCCCTTGACTAGTGCTGCTTTACCTATAAGACCTGTATCTGTACCCTCTAGCCCTTGACTAGTGCTGCTTTACCTATAAGGCCTGTATCTGTACCCTCTAGCCCTTGACTAGTGCTGCTTTACCTATAAGGCCTGTATCTGTACCCTCTAGCCCTTGACTAGTGCTGCTTTACCTATAAGGCCTGTATCTGTACCTTAAACCCCAAGCTACTGTTGCATTAACTGTAAGGCCATGCATCTGTACCCTCTAACCCGTGAATAGTGCCGCTTTGCCTGTAAGGCCATGTATGTGTAGTCTGTAACACCTTAGCGCCTTATGACCAGGCTGCTGCTGTAGAGATGTCAGACCCTGGTATATCTGCTGTACAGGATGCACAAAGTTACACTTGACATTTGGCAAGGCAGCTAATCACTAACACTATGACATTTCAGAGAATTGAACTGAAACAAGCACTTGGATTTAAACCTTTCTGTTATGACCTTTACACATACGAATTAATAATCATTTCATCATGGGTGGCAGTAAACTAACACTAGAGCTGACAGAATAAATAAAACTATTGATATCCTAAAAGAAAATAACTTAAATATCATGAGACGGTGACACCTACATGAATAAGATCTAAATGATTATGATTGTCATCAAAAGAAGGATACACTGGATTATATATCTGTCTCTCTAGTTAACCTGTATATAGATTAGCTCTTAATGGAAAATATCTAAGCACTGTTAGTTAATGTATAAAGTAATGTAGCCCACGTAAGAGGGATTCTTCAATAATAAATAGAATTCTCCACTTATAAATAACTTTCCATTACACTATCATCATTCAGGCAAGTTCTGAGAACAAACGTTCATTTATTGTGCTCATATACTACATTAGTGTTCTCAGTCAGAAGCAGAGTGTCATGTGTTTTCTGATAGTGTAACATAATATACTCATAACAAGTGTGCCATCAGTCTAACTCTAGCCACAAAGTCCAACTCCCTTTCTTTCAATCTGGGAAGTAGAAATGACTTTCAGGGTTTTTTCACTATTGTTAATGTATTGTCTACTAATCCAACTAGATTGCAATAACAATTAACCAACTTTATGGCATGAGATATTTTTTATCAGTGTAACAGAAATGAATACTAGTGAATATTGCTGATAATCTGAAAGATGGACATTTTTCTCCCTACCACTACTTAAATAGAAAGGAAAGTAGCTCAAATCTGAAGATGTACATATACTTGCCAACCAACACACAAGCAGGTTTGAAACTCTCAAAATATATCATTGATTTGTAACATTTAAAAGTAATTACAACTGTCAACATTATTGATCGCTATTGATAATATCAACAATTATGTTGGGATAATATATTCCAGTTGATATAGTACGATCATAGGGCAAACAAGTGCTATAGCTTCATATATATCTATACTGACTGACTGAATTTGGTTTTACGCCGCTTTTAGCAATATTCCAGCAACATCACGGCGGGGGAAACCAGAAATGGGCTTCACACACTGTAACCATGTGGGGATTCGAACCCGGGTCCTCGGCGTTACGAATATATCTATACATTCCAACTAGCAAACTATGCTGAACACAGCTGATTTGTAAGGGATTAACTCCACTGACAAGAGGTTGAAGGGAAAATTTTGGGAACGGACATAATTATGACGTCACATAAGCTAACTGGCTTCAACCAGGTAATTCCTCTGGGGTCACAATGACATGGCCTCTCACCCACAGTAGACGTAGCTGTTCCAGGCTGCACCTCCATGAAAGTGAGCTGTTCCAAACTCCATCCCCTGGGGCAACTTAGCCTGGGGTGTTTCTTGCAAGGATAAAATCAGTAAATTTTAAATGTAGATTACAGAAATTATGGAAATTAGAAAAAAAACCATAGAACCAGTGAATAAAAAACATCAAATGACACTGGTGAACGGTATGAAAAATATCACTCAATCAACATCACTCAGAAATGTCCGGTGGTAAATCACTATAACGTTTCTTCTATAATTAGAATCAAATCTATGTGACACATTAAACTGAATACAAGAGTCGAACCAGTGGTCAACGGATATGACTCTTTACAGAGTTCAGAATATCCTATGAGTTATAAAGTAGAAGTGCTAATCTTGAGATCCCTGTGGGATTCAGGGTCAGAGCTGACTGCACAAGTACAAGGGACCAGTATTATGACCAAACAGTTTACATTCACGAACTGTTCATGAACATTCATGAATTCATGAATATAGGCGCCGTAGGGAACTCAGGGGATCGACCACAGAAAGTATGTGATTGGGTGATAACAACATATACGCTACTCAATAAAATCCATATTTTTCCTAACTGGTGGCATTGCAGGCATTGTTTTGATTCAACTTCATTCAAGTGGTATAGAAAATGTGCTACGTAGCTATTGATAGTGTTATTGACAGTGTCATTTCATATTTTCATGAAAAACCTTGACAACTAAACATTGTATAGTGTATATTCACTTTAAGTTGGACATATAGCAGATGTGCTCCAGTTCTAGACCGAGTAATATTCTCACTACAAATATATCCAAGCAATTGCTGTCCTGCATCCAACATTTTGACACACAAAATATCCCTATAAAGGGTTCAGTGATATTGATTAAAACATAAATACTTGCATCTACAGTCAACATCAGTTGATGATTATGACCAAGCAAATAGCAACTGGCTTAACGATCCAATAAAGTTAATACTGAGAATATGATGATATTCTTCCCACAACAGAACTCCCCAGGTCACAGAATTACTAAATCAAGAATATATACTTCCAGCATAAATTCACATAATCAGCCTGCTAGCAATCCCTTGATGTCATTCTCTGTATACCAACTCTAAATATGTTCTATTTCAGGCCACTCTGTCTATTTTTTCAAAACGAAATTCTTTTTGTACAGAACAGCTGGCTCCATGTCAATCATGACCCCGGCCCTCCTGGCTGATTACGGAGTGGGCGTGTCCACCTCACCATGTGCTCCTCACTTCCTGGTTGTGGCTGCATCTGGAAGGAGCATCCCACCTATCTCCCTCTTCACACTGCAGGGTAAGTTGATAGTTCCTTCCTGTCTCAGCCTAGTTAACCCATGGTAGAATGTCCTCAAGCTGAGGAGCTACTCAGAATATGCAGCAGCTATTAACCGTCTATGCATGCCATGGGGCAACTATGCATGCACAGAATGCATTCATCCAGGCATTAAACCCCATCAAGTTTGTTATCATAACCATTAGTGATGTCAGATGTCATATACCCGTGATCACCACTATTGATGTCAATAGTAAATGACATCAGTTGTGGTGATCATGGGGTACCTGACTATTGACATCAGTAGTGGTGATCACTGGGTACCTGACTATTGACATCTGTAGTGGATGACATCAGTAGTGGTGATCACGTGGGTACCTGACTATTGACATCAGTAGTGGTGATCACTGGGTACCTGACTATTGACATCAGTAGTGGTGATCACAGGGTACCTGACTATTGACATCAGTAGTGGTGATCACTGAGTACCTGACTATTGACATCAGTAGTGGTGATCACAGGGTGCCTGACTATTGACATCTGTAGTGGTGATCACTGGGTACCTGACTATTGACATCAGTAGTGGTGATCACAGGGTACCTGACTATTGACATCAGTAGTGGTGATCTATTGGTAGTGTACCTGACTATTGACATCAGTAGTGGTGATCACTGGGTACCTGACTATTGACATCAGTAGTGGTGATCACTGGGTACCTGACTATTGACATCAGTAGTGGTGATCACAGGGTACCTGACTATTGACATCAGTAGTGGTGATCACAGGGTACCTGACTATTGACATCACCTGACTATTGACATCAGTAGTGGTGATCACTGAGTAGTGGTGATCACAGGATGACTATTGACATCAGTAGTGGTGATCACTGGGTACCCGACTATTGACATCAGTAGTGGTGATCACGGGGTGCCTGACTATTGACATCAGTAGTGGTGATCACAGGGTACCTGACTATTGACATCAGTAGTGGTGATCACAGGGTACCTGACTATTGACATCAGTAGTGGTGATCACTGGGTACCTGACTATTGACATCAGTAGTGGTGATCACTGGGTACCTGACTTGACTTCAGTAGTGGTGATCACTGGGTACCTGACTATTGACATCAGTAGTGGTGATCACTGGGTACCTGACTATTGACATCAGTAGTGGTGATCACAAGGTACCTGACTATTGACATCAGTAGTGGTGATCACAGGGTACCTGACGATTGACATCTGTAGTGATCACAGGGTACCTGACGATTGACATCAGTAGTGGTGATCACAGAGTGAGTGAGTGAGTGAGTGAGGAACATTATTCTAGTTACATTATGGTTCATCAGCTTAATGTTGGAGGAAGTATAATGCAGGTCCCAAACACATAACACTTTGGTGTAACACATGAGCAAGGATATGGATCTGACAAGCATAGAAACATAATGGGGCCAAATTGACAGGTTTCTGGCATACCCAAGGGATGCAACTCTGTAAAGCAAAACAACTGGACCAACCATGTTAAATTCAAATGAACAACAATTGCAGTTGCAGGATTCAAAGCAAACATTTTCACAGAGTATGGTGACAATACTAATCCTCTTTTCGAGTCTAAACAGTCTGGTTTTCTGATTGTTTTCTTTTTTTATCTAAAACATTGTTACCCCCGAGTCAACAGGAAACAACATAAGGGAGGCAGGGTATGTTACCCCCGAGTCAACAGGAAACAACATAAGGGAGGCAGGGTATGTTACCCCCGAGTCAACAGGAAACAACATAAGGGAGGCAGGGTATGTTACCCAACATAAGTTGCCGAGTCAACAGGAAACAACATAAACATACCCCGAGGCAGGGTATGTTACCCCCTGAGTCAACAGGAAACAACATAAGGGAGGCAGGGTATGTTACCCCCGAGTCAACAGGAAACAACATAAGGGAGGCAGGGTATGTTACCCCCGAGTCAACAGGAAACAACATAAGGGAGGCAGGGTATGTTACCCCTGAGTCAACAGGGAAACAACATAAGGGAGGCAGGGTATGTTACCCCGAGTCAACAGGAAACAACATAAGGGGGGTAGGCAGGGTATGTTACCCCAGAGTCAACAGGAAACAACATAAGGGAGGCAGGGTATGTTACCCCGAGTCAACAGGAACAACAAGGCAGGGTAAGGTTACCCCTGAGTCAACAGGAAACAACATACCCCCCGAGTCAACAGGAAACAACATAAGGGAGGCAGGGAAACAACATAAGGGTATGTTACCCCCCACTGAGTCAACAGGAAACAACATAAGGGGAGGCAGGGTATGTTACCCCTGTCAACAGGAAACAACATAAGGGGGCAGGGTATGTTACCCCTGAGTCAACAGGAAACAACATAAGGGGGAGGCAGGGTATGTTACCCCTGAGTCAACAGGAAACAACATAAGGGAGGCAGGGTATGTTACCCCTGAGAGTCAACAGGAAACAACATAAGGGAGGCAGGGTACAGGAAACAACATAAGGGAGGCAGGGTATGTTACCCCTGAGTCAACAGGAAACAACATAAGGGAGGCAGGGTATGTTACCCCTGAGTCAACAGGAAACAACATAAGGGAGGCAGGGTATGTTACCCCTGAGTCAACAGGAAACAACATAAGGGAGGCAGGGTATGTTACCCTGAGTCAACAGGAAACAACATAAGGGGAGGCAGGGTATGTTACCCCTGAGTCAACAGGAAACAACATAAGGGAGGCAGGGTATGTTACCCCCGAGTCAACAGGAAACAACATAAGGGAGGCAGGGTATGTTACCCCTGAGTCAACAGGAAACAACATAAGGGAGGCAGGGTATGTTACCCCTGAGTCAACAGGAAACAACATAAGGGAGGCAGGGTATGTTACCCCGAGTCAACAGGAAACAACATAAGGGAGGCAGGGTATGTTACCCCTGAGTCAACAGGAAACAACATAAGGGAGGCAGGGTATGTTATCACTGAGTCAACAGGAAACAACATAAGGGAGCAAGGGTATGTTACCCCTGAGTCAACAGGAAACAACATAAGGGAGCAAGGGTATGTTATCCCTGAGTCAACAGGAAACAACATAAGGGAGCAAGGGTATGTTATTACTGAGCCAGCTGGTTCTAGCCAAGGTTCACCATCCTAACAGGAAACCATCTTGATCTGACAACACCACACAAACTATGTCATCTGATGATACAGTAACGGCACATAACAACTCATCACAAGCTAGATGGCATTCACTCACTGTAATGACAGTGCTGCTGTTGAACAGAAGAACCTCTGACATGCTAAATAGACATTATGATGGTCGCAATCATAAAATAATTACAGACATGACATATCTTCTTCCACTTACAACTCTATGACAACTGTTATTTAAAATACATTCAGTTCCCTCGAAATATGATACCGTATGTGATAACATAACCTATCATTAGATGCATGTTTCCTCAAACAAAGCCAAATCCTGGGAAAGTATATGATGACCTGTCTGGCAATATATAGATGTCTACTGTCTATTGTCTACTGTGTAACTGTCCAGTGTCTGCAATGAAACTGGTATTAAACCTTCACCTGCATTACTAGATCCATTATCTGATAATCAGAAAAGCATTAACATCACACACCTATCCAAACAACACCTATATCTAGCCATAGATGTCTCAAACACATATTTACACCTCTAACATATATCTCCACTTCTAACATATATCTCCACTTCTAACATATATCTCCACTTCTAACATATATCTCCACTTCTAACATATATCTCCACTTCTAACATATATCTCCACTTCTAACATATATCTCCACTTCTAACATATATCTCCACTTCTAACATATATCTCCACTTCTAACATATATCTCCACATCTAACATATATCTCCACTTCTAACATATAACCTATATCTCCACCTCTAACATATATCTCCACTTCTAACAAATATCTCCACCTCTAACATATATATCCACTTCTAACATATATCTCCACCTCTAACATATATCTATATATCCACTTCTAACATATATCTCCACCTCTAACATATATCTCCACTCTCATAACAAATATATCTCCACCTCTAACATATATCTCCACTTCTAACATATATCTCCACCTCTAACATATATCTCCACCTCTAACATATATCTCCACCTCTAACATATATCTCCACTTCTAACATATATCTCCACTTCTAACATATATCTCCACTTCTAACATATATCTCCACTTCTAACATATATCTCCACCTCTAACATATATCTCCACTTCTAACATATATCTCCACTTCTAACATATATCTCCACATCACACATACCTAACACCACATTATAAACATCACTTGTTGGATCTTGAACCACAACTGCAAGGAAGTTTTATGACATAATTGATCACAAAATTCCAATCAAAATCATAAAATACATGAAAACACAAGAGGAAAAGAGGATGATTTCTTCAGACCAGGCTAGGAAAGCTACTCATAACATGAAGCATGCCTATCAAGAATAACAACCAAGCTCTGTACAATTTCCATGTGTACTCTACTCTCCAATTCACAATACAAGTTTCCATATTATATTCCAATGTCCCTTTCAACACAGCAGAGTTATTAGCCCCGGCAGCCAGCAACAGTTGTCAAGGACGTTAACCAGTGCTAGCTGTCATCAACTGGCAGTCAAGTTCAGAAACCCAATCTTCCTGCTGGGACGAATATGTTTCCATATGCTCATTCAACACAGGGCCGCACTCCAGGACAAAGAAACACTCACTCAACACACCGAGTAGCGACCTTTCTTATAGACATGGTCCACACAGAACAGTTATGAAAAACATGTGGTGTTAAAACTAACATTCCTATCAAACTCTAAACATATTTTTAAATATCTGAAACTTTGTAATATTAAAAATTTGTCTAGTTGTGCTAGTAAGTACACAAACCATCAACAGCATATGTACAACATAAATACTGTCAATCATTATGGAATGTAATGGCAGGAAGATTTTTAACATTTACACATTTACTGTCAATCATAATACTGCAGCAAGCTGATTTAGACAGACAGACCTGGCAGTGTCAACAGGGATTCACACAAAGGAAGTCACATTCAACCAATAACAAAATCAGTGACTACGCCTAAAGTATTTAACAGTAATTTGCACCATATGCATAATAACCCAATTTCCAAATGTCACCGACATTATGAACAAAGCAGTGAATATGACAAGCATAAAGAGAAGATCGAGGTTCATATCCCTGTACGTGACACTACACATCAATATGACTAATACGTAGCCAGCCACAAGTAGTGGTTGACAGGAGTAAACTCACTCGCACTTTCATTTCCCATTGTAAAGTGACCACATAGTGCTCCTGCCTTGGTTCAAGCAAATCTTCCCGACTCCGTGCACCCAGTAGCTGAGGCTTATTGCGAGTTATACGCTGGTCACACCCTCGCTTGTACACAGCCAGGAGAACAGCTGGAGAACTGGGCAGCAGTGGAAAGTTAAGTGAGTCATTTTGACATTTTGTCTGTCTCTATAATACATCCTGGTCTTGTAATGTAGACTCGGAGGATCTCGAGGTTAACCCATCCTAGTCTTGGCAGACAGCTGAAGGTCTGAATGTCAATGTGTTCTAGATCCAGATAAAGAACAGTCAATTGATATGGTAAACTGCAACAGTTGTCATCAATATCCACCGTGTCACATGCCTCAGAGTTTACATACAACTGTTACTCCATGCTTGGTTGATAACTGTCGTATCAGCCACTCTACACCGTAGAACACAGTACGCTCACACATGGCATATCGCCCACATGTATTCCACACATGCCAACCTGCCGAAATGCAATTGTTTCCATACCATGAGAACAACCCATGAGAAATAATTCATGGATTTGATGGAAACTATTCAAAAATGATAACTGTAAATAGTGTGTGACCTAGCTTACAAATGTGCATATGTCAGCTATATTGATCTTTTGTTGACTATGATCCAAGCTGGTCATAAAAAGTGTTGGATGCCTGTACAACTGTTGTAGGTAGGTTGAGGCAGGTGCCCTGTACAAGTTACGTAAAACAACCAGGTTCACATGCAACTATATATAACAAGCTTTTAGGAGGCAATGGCATCTCGTTAGCTCTTGCTGAGTAATTACTCAGGCTAACTGTAATTTGAGTTTTTCTGAGCTGGCTGAAACAGGAATGTCTGGAAATATACCTCTAGTCACTTCCTTCTGGAAGTAAAAAAATACATGAACTACCAGCTGATTACCTAACAGTATGGGAAAATACATATTTTCCATCTACATTGAAAGATATATATTTCTAGTAAGGATATATCCTCATATCTGCCCCTATATTGATCATGTTGATAGATTTATAATTAGGAAGGATATATCATATATCTGTTTATCATGATAGACATATTACTACTAAGGATATATCCATATATCTACACTGGTAGATAGATAGATAGATTTACTACTGGTAATGATATATCCACATATCTACACTTATCTTGATAGATTTACTACTATCAAAGATATAACCATCTATCTGGAATTTAAGATGTATTATTTGTATACATGTTAAAGATATATCCTTACTAAGTCTAAAATGTATGTAAATATTGAGAAAAGAGAGCCATTCATATTTAATCAGCCTTTGAAATAATGCTTGCACTAAAAACAACTTTTTATATGAATTTGTACGTAAATATGCGAACTTTTTATAAATATCAAAACAGATATCACAAGCCAGAGGATACAGTAAGGCCAGCTCAATAATCACGATGTTTTTACGATAAGTTGAAAACTCCAGGCTTAACTCTTATCAGATAACACATCACCTCATTCATATGCATGTATTTGACTTACAGGATGTGAGAAGTTACGCATCTCGCACATCTTGGTCAAATATAAGATGAGGTTTCATATTCTAAACAAACTTCTACCTCAGCCAATCAGATTGCAGAAGCCATTAACTGCTGCCTGACAGCCCCCATCCAAGGTGTAGATATGTTACACATCGCACAACTTACACCATTACACATGCTTCCAGGGAAACCATGGTTTCATGGGAAAAATAGAATATCACACATCCTCCAGAAAATTATCATCAGTTCTGAGTATTGGTACTAAAAACTAATTATAAATGTTTTCCTTTCTTCACTTTATGAACCCGGTCAGTGTTGTGTGCACCAAAATACGTAGCACTGTTAAGTGTGATTCAGTTTAAGGAAACTGAAATAGATTTAACAGGAAAATGTCTTTGCACAGGGATTTAACAAACTCTGCTCAATCAAGCTAATATTCAGACAAGGTCTGACACAAGTGTCTGTAAAAACTACAAAACTGGAATGAAACGTGAGAGTAATAGCTACACCTATGGCTTTTGCAAGGGTGACTTTCATTTTGATATATAACAGGACAAAATATATAAGAGTGAGGTTGGTGATACTAGTTGAGTTGAGTTGGGCTTTACGTCACATCGGCATTATTCCAGCCATATAGTGACGAGAACAAGTCTGCATTAATATACATTAGTGATACTAACATTTAATGAAATTAAACATGAAATTAAACATGTTTTATGAATAAAAAAACCCCCGGATTTTTAGTTATCTTAGCGAGACATACTAAAAGAAGACCAACAACTAGTTTCTGAAATGAACATATTTTACAGGAAAAGAAAGCTCACAGTAAAAGAAATAAAAGATAATGAAAACGAGCCCTGAGACTCTGGAAATCTAGACATGCGTGGGCTTTCTTGGATATATTTTTCTCAGGGTCTGTCTGACAGACTATACTAAAAGGAACACAGGGACATTCTTGCCACATATTCTAGACTTGCATGGGCTGTGTTGGATAAATTCGTCTCAGGGTCTGTATGACTGACTAAATCTGAGGCTGCTTTGAACAGTGTTCCAGCCATATCACAGTTGTCAGATTAATGCAGGAGGAAAGCCAAATAATCCAAATTATGCATGTGGGTATCCATGGGAAGATTCTCCTCATTACTTCTTTTCTTGCCCCTGTTATGACTTAATAAGATGAGATAAATATGTCTATACTAATGGTTTTGACTTGAATTCAATTTTTCAAGTTAATCAAACTTCTAGCAACAGAATTAATCAGCTTATTCTTGACTCTGTTCATAAATACATACTACTTTCAAATAGATTCAAATTATTCTAAACTCTAATGTATGCAAATACTATGAAGCACTGAATGTAATTTTGTAGATATTTTCCTATTATCCATTTCTTGCCTTTGTGGAAATAATTGCTTCTGTACTCTGTTTGAAGTTAATTATTGATTGTATTCTGTTGTATTTAATGGAGCGGCACTTACATTAGCTGTGAGCTTGTTGTGCCAATCCATATTCATGTTATTTTTATTTTATGAATAAAATATGCTTATTAAAAAAAGAAAGCCCATTTGGAAATGTGGTGCTTTAAGCAACTTGACCACCATGCCCTCAATGCTCATAAACAGGTCATAATCTTCAGTTTGGCCATTTTTGCATTGAAGAAAACCTAAAAATACTCCAGAATTTAAGAAAAGATGTGATTTTTTTCAATTTTGTCTGCAAAAGGGCACTTATATTTGGAATCAAAGGAAAATCCTTGTTAAATCCTTGGCATGATTAGTACCACAGATTTTATGAAGGTAGTGAATTTTTGCAAAGTTTGGTTGTAATATACACACTGTAGTATATTCAAGAACAAGTAGTTCCACTCAGTTCTAAATAAGTCTGAATTTTGACTGCAAACATTATGAATTCAAAACTAAAGCATAAACTTTAATTTTCTGTCCCAAACATTACACCCAAACATGGACAATGTATTTCAATGGAACACTTGAAACAACAAACTGATGCCAGTTGAAGGCACCTGTTTGCCACCTGTCACCACGGCTCGTGATTATTATTAATTTCATGCTTCTTTCACACAGCATGTGCAGCAAATGATGAATCATTCCATATACATGTAATGTGAACATATATTTTCACCTCTTTTGACAGCTGTGACATACAGGTGCTTCATGTTTTCAGGGACATCCAGTTGCAGCCATCATGAAGATGAGGAAAGGTGCACAGACTACTGACGGCCACACTCAAGAACACGGTTCAAATGATGGCAGTCATCCCAACACTTTCGACTCACCATGACAGTCACCATGACAGTCAACTCAACACTCCTGTGTCACCATGACAGTCAACTCAACACGCCTGTGTCACCATGACAGTCAACTCAACACTCCTGTGTCACCATGATAGTCAACTCAACACACCTGTGTCACCATGACAGTCAACTCAACACTCCTGTTTCACCATGACAGTCAACTCAACACTACTGTTTCACCATGACAGTCAACTCAACACGCCTGTGTCACCATGACAGTCAACTCAACACACCTGTGTCACCATGACAGTCAACTCAACACTCCTGTGTGATGACAGTCAACCAAAGACAGGTAAGTAAAGACCTCCTTTTTAAAATCAGAGAAAAATAACAACATAATCAGCCAGTCAATGAGCTTCACCACCCAATACCCATTTTAAATGTTACCATGGTTACCACAAACAGACTTGGAATCTGGCCTTACGTAACCCTTCTTGAGTTCAAAACAAATGTTGAATTGTTTGCCAGAGATAGAGAGAGGGCTTGTATTTGCTTCCAGAACCATACTCCAAGCCTCACCAAATCCCAAACAACACAAACCAATGTTAGCATGATGTCACAGGAAGCAGCACTGAGACACAAATACTGCCAGAAATTACTTGTTTTCAGGAATTGTATTGTGCTATGCAAGATAAGGGGCAGTGTGTGTATTACCAGTGTGTATTTTATCAATGTGGCAATGTGCAAGAGGTGCATAATATTGGGTTTTCCTTCAACAATAAGCTGTGGGATACTATTAAAAACAGTGTTAAACCCATCTCATCCTATTATTTCAAGCTCATTATTTTTACATAATGCAATAATCACTGAGGGTGTCAGTTGTCAGCATTAAGTGTACTGAACATTTTTCAGATCAGAATAAAATCCTTGTTACCTAATCTAGCTCTTAAATAGAAAGTAGGGTGTTGGTGTTCATTTCAACGTAAAAGGGATGCAAAATCACAAATAACTTGAGAGGTATAGAGGAATTCACTCATTAAGGTTACTTATAGGACTTCAAACAAGCCTCATGCTTCCTTTCATGATAATGTCCTGTGGAATAATTATTACAAAGGGGACATAACTTCATATGTTATTGGAAAGAACCTATGTGTCATCAACAGTGCGTATGAATACAAAATGTGCCGAATGTAAACATAGAGCCTCATCACTTCTCGCATTCAATAACCATCTCTGCATACAAAATCTTTAGGCTGATGAAAATGTTTTGAAAATCTAACATGTCTAAAGTAAAGGCAAACATTCATCTAACATAATTGTATCTTACACTGATGAAACAACATTTTCTGTTATACAACTCGTACATCCCGCTTCAGTTGGTATTACCAAATTATCAGCATAGGTAAGTAATCTTTAACTTGTATCCAAAAACATTTTACAGTTTTAACTGAAAAAAAATATCACAGTACAAATAGAATCAGTATATATTGTTATCCGAGAACCTTTATAATTTAAATCTACTCACATCTGTTCTACCTAAAACAACACAAGTACAATGGGTCAGCAATTGGCTGTATTCATTTTGTACCGCCAAGACTTCCACATTGCTGACTTTTGTTTGCTGGCGATTAGGTAACTGACGCTCAGGGTGTGGGTTCGAGTCCTGGATGGGACTTAACTAAAAAAGTACTAGAATTTGCACATTACTAAGAAAGTGTAATCCCAAATACAACATATGTAACATTTGACCACTTTCTAAATGGCATGGTGTAGTCATGGATGGCAGATGTTGTATTCACATTCAACCTGACCCAGAACATTACACTGTATATGAAGCCACAAAGTAAATGATGATTCATTTCTGTATCAATGCAAATGCATCGTTTTTACAATTATGTTTCAAGTCTATGACTAAACCTACATCATAAAATGTATATTTTTGCATGAAAAAATGAAAGAGATTCTGTGGGTTTTGATTATCTAACCAAGCACCATGTTTATTTTCAATAAACAAATACATATGGCCACACCAGTTGGTACTGTTTCATAAATAGGTTTAAGCTGCATCATCGTTCTGAATGATGTCATTGGATTTGTACTACTGTCTGCTAATGCAGATGCAGTGTTAGATGTTTATAATTTCAAAAAGCCCATGCACAAGCTCCTGACAAATCAAGCATAATAAACTGGATGAATCAGAGATTTGAACCCATGCTCATAGCATTCTGGCACTCCCAAGGGGCATAACCCTGCAGATCAAACTGTAGTGATAGACAACTGAGCCATCTGTGCTTCCCAAGGCAGCAGAATATTGATGTCCAGCCTTGAAATGTGTTTATGATCAATTGAAAAGTTTTTAAAATGTTTCCAGTGTTTTCCTTCACTCTTGGTGAAGGATACAAAGTGCAGGCATTTACAGGACGCGAATTCCAGCGTCCTATATTCATAAAAATTGACAATGCATGCAACAAAATTTAACAGCACGTCCACAGGGAAGCAGAAAAAGTCCAAATACTTTTTGTAAATATTCGAATCAAGTAATGATAAGTTATCAAAGAGTTTGCTACCAGCTGGGTTATGGTATTATTTGCAGTCTAATTCCTGTAACAATGTGATCATCATAATACACAATACAATAACAGTATTTGTAGTAACACTTAAGTGTCTGGGACCCCTAGTTTGTAGTCCAGGACCCCTGAAAATTGAGAGTATGAGTCCCAGGGACCCTCAAAACCAGGACTCAAGGTAAATCCCTGAAAGTGGATCTTCTGGTAGGCCTAGTCTTGTCCTCCATTATATTTGTAGAGCACAACCTTCATTAGCCTCAACAAATATCATTAAAAAAGCTGACAATGTTTGTGTGGATGACATCAGCTTCTGAAACCACTTCCACAACATCAGGGAAGGATGGTTCCTGATGGCTTAACACAAGGGCAATGACCCAGGGATTATACAGCCATTCTAAACCTTTGGGAGGCAGTTCAGGAAAATGTTGTAATTTTGCTCACATTGGTTTGTGAAATACAAGTCACCTCCACAAATCTATATTGATTATTATTAATTATTAGTTATCAGTATATAACATGAATTGGGAATTATCAGTGACATTTGCTGCACATTTAAGGCTGAGTATGAGCAAGTCTATATGAATCCCTGTGTTCTAGTTAAAATAACCATCTTCATCAACAGGCCTCAGAGGATCCAACTACACAATACAAATATCTATTAATCTAATTATGTCATGTGCCATTGCCAAGCAAATTAGATTGTGTTTTTTCTGTAATTTCAGAGATCGTTCAACACAGCATTCTTTGTAATGACAGAAAGCTATCTTTTTTAGCTTTTTCCCTTATATCAATTTTATTTTTTGTCAAGCACTAGGCAACTCGATCAAAACATCACACATTAAAATTATTTTAGTATGAATCAGGAATTTTTTTATAGCCATTTGGGAATATTTACTGACTTTTGCTGTAGAATTAGTGACACATAACACCCTCTGGGCTGGCCCATATAAACAGCAGCTACATCCATTTTAAATCATAGCAAAAACATCAGGCCAGTATCGACTTGTGCATGATCTGCAATGTTTCTAATCATTGACTTTGACAGACAAAGTTAACATGACTGATGCATTGGCCATGTTCTGTCATATTTGTTGTTTTCTCATCAAACATGTATTATTTTGCAGATTCCAAGAACAGTTAACCTACGCTTAGATGATGGCAGGGAACTTTACCGTTGAAACCCTCTCATCCCACAACCATGTCATTGATAAGAAGTAAAGAGTTGTCTCCCTTACCTGGCTCAGCAGCTCCTTGCTCTTGAGGATCAAACTTGACAAACAGAGACTCGCGGGCCAGATCCGACTCTTTACACTGGAGGGGAAGAGAAGCCAAGTAAATAACCCTTACCACAATATGCTTATACTTATACTCAGACTTGAGTCAGCCCTGGCCGCGACAAGTGGATGTCAATGTGCCAAGGCGGTTAGATGTATACAAGGTAAATATCACTTTCATATATGGTTCATTTAGTAGAAGCTGGTAATTATTTGCAGCTGGATAAGGAACTAATAGCGTAGTAGTATATGTAGCTTGTGTCTCAGTGGATATAGCAGTTGTTATTTAGTAGTAGAAGCCACAGCTAATGTTTAAGTGAAAGTTGTAGCCATTATTCAGGTGCATACACATGTACGTTATGTTAGTAACATTACTAACACTTGTTTCTTTGGGGTCATAAACATATAAATAGTGGTAGAAATTGTTATCTTAAAGGTAGTAATAGTAGCAGCAGCAGCAGTAGCAGTAGTAGTAGTAGTAGTAGCAGTAGCAGTAGCAGTAGTAGTAGTAGTAGTAGTAGTAGTAGTAGTAGTAGTAGTAGCAGCAGCAGTAGCAGTAGCAGCAGTAGTAGTAGTAGTAGTAGTAGTAGTAGTAGTAGTAGTAGTAGTAGCAGTAGTAGCAGTAGTAGTAGTAGTAGTAGTAGTAGTAGTAGTAGTAGTAGTAGTAGTAGTAGTAGTAGTAGTAGTAGTAGTAGTAGCAGCAGCAGTAGTAGTAGTATCATTGTAGTTGCAATACTTACTGCATCTCCACCAAACTTATCCAGCATTTCCCAGGTTGCCTTGTCACTAAACACTGAAACAAATAAAAGCAGACAGTTAAAACACAGAAGCTATTTCACTATACAATCTTAGCTCAAAGCTCTCAAACATGTTGTCTCTCAAGTGTTGTCCGTGAGAACCCAGCAGTAATACCATAGCAGTGGACAGTATGTGTTGAACCCCAGCAGTAATACCATAGCAGTGGACAGTATGTGTTGAACCCCAGCAGTAATACCATGGCAGTGGACAGTATGTGTTGAACCCCAGCAGTAATACCATGGCAGTGGACAGTATGTGTTGAACCCCAGCAGTAATACCATGGCAGTGGACAGTATGTGTTGAACCCCAGCAGTAATACCATGGCAGTGGACAGTATGTGTTGAACCCCAGCAGTAATACCATGGCAGTGGACAGTATGTGTTGAACCCCAGCAGTAATACCATGGCAGTGGACGGTATGTGTTGAACCCCAGCAGTAATACCATGGCAGTGGACGGTATGTGTTGAACCCCAGCAGTAATACCATAGCAGTGGACAGTATGTGTTGAACCCCAGCAGTAATACCATAGCAGTGGACGGTATGTGTTGAACCCCAGCAGTAATACCATGGCAGTGGACGGTATGTGTTGAACCCCAGCAGTAATACCATGGCAGTGGACGGTATGTGTTGAACCCCAGCAGTAATACCATAGCAGTGGACAGTATGTGTTGAACCCCAGCAGTAATACCATGGCAGTGGACGGTATGTGTTGAACCCCAGCAGTAATACCATAGCAGTGGACAGTATGTGTTGAACCCCAGCAGTAATACCATGAACGGTATGTGTTTGAACCCAGCAGTAATACCATAGCAGTGGACAGTATGTGTTGAACCCCAGCAGTAATACCATAGCAGTGGACAGTATGTGTTGAACCCCAGCAGTAATACCATAGCAGTGGACGGTATGTGTTGAACCCCAGCAGTAATACCATGGCAGTGGACAGTATGTGTTGAACCCCAGCAGTAATACCATAGCAGTGGACAGTATGTGTTGAACCCCAGCAGTAATACCATAGCAGTGGACAGTATGTGTTGAACCCCAGCAGTAATACCATAGCAGTGGACAGTATGTGTTGAACCCCAGCAGTAATACCATGGCAGTGGACAGTATGTGTTGAACCCCAGCAGTAATACCATGGCAGTGGACAGTATGTGTTGAACCCCAGCAGTAATACCATAGCAGTGGACAGTATGTGTTGAACCCCAGCAGTAATACCATGGCAGTGGACAGTATGTGTTGAACCCCAGCAGTAATACCATGGCAGTGGACGGTATGTGTTGAACCCCAGCAGTAATACCATAGCAGTGGACATATGTGTTTGAACCCCAGCAGTAATACCATGGCAGTGGACAGTATGTGTTGAACCCCAGCAGTAATACCATGGCAGTGGACAGTATGTGTTGAACCCCAGCAGTAATACCATAGCAGTGGACGGTATGTGTTGAACCCCAGCAGCAGTAATACCATGGCAGTATGTGTTGATAATACCATGGCAGTGGACAGTATGTGTTGAACCCCAGCAGTAATACCATGGCAGTGGACAGTATGTGTTGAACCCCAGCAGTAATACCATGGCAGTGGACAGTATGTGTTGAACCCCAGCAGTAATACCATAGCAGTGGACAGTATGTGTTGAACCCCAGCAGTAATACCATGGCAGTGGACAGTATGTGTTGAACCCCAGCAGTAATACCATAGCAGTGGACAGTATGTGTTGGCCTGGCAAATGTGACCACTAACTCACCATCAGATGCAGGAACAAATCCTTCATTGTCACGCTCTGGCATCTCCCCATCTTCTCCTGCACCAAAGTCATGGACCATCTCCAGGCTATCAGCCATCTGATTGGCTGCTTCTTTGTCATGTGACTTCAGATCCTCCACAACAGGCAGCTGATTGGTTGGCAGTGGATCAGCTTGTGAATCAGTCACTGGTTCAGTAGGGTCAGCTGCTTTCTCCTCTGGAGCAAAGATCTGAATGTCCTCTCCTGTGTTCTGAAAACCAAAAACTGCAAATGACAAACAACGGGAAAAACAGACTTATCATTGATGTTTTGCACTAACCAGTGGTGGCAATATGTCATTACACTAGAAAGGCATTAGGGCAGGGATACATTTTGAATAAACAAAGGTCAGCTTTCAGAAACACCTTGAGCATTAGATGGAGCGATCAGAAAACACAGATGGTATTTTGTAAACGACACTCCATGCACATTTCCAAGTCATTTGTGTATGACAGAGGTAGTAAAATCCACAAGCATAGGAGTGGTGATGATTGACTTTCAGTCATCATTAATGCCAATCATTCAAACAAACCTGGTACATGCAAAACCTGACACTCTGGTAATGTAAGTGAAACATCTTTCTCCTGCAGACCATACACATACATTCCATTCATACAGGAATTAGTTACTTTCTAGGAGCAAAAACTGTGGGTGGAATGAGCTAACATAGAATGGCTATAAAAGCATGCTCACTAACTTGCTCACAACTAGAGGCTACTGACCTGAACACCAAAGTTCTGAGGCGGCTTCAGTCTTGATTTCGGCTTTTTCAAGCTCTTCTTCACCCCTTGCTTTTTTCTGAACAAAAACACAAGCATTCAAGTTCAAATGTTTCTTAATGTCAAAGAGATAACTGCAGTAAAGGTCTAAAAGAATTTATTAGTTCTTACTTGGGTGTTATCTCCTCCTGATTTTTGTATGTACACACAATGACATGTTAAAATACTGAAATACTTGGTTTTCTTTGCAGTTATCATACATGTGCCACACAAGAAGAGAGAGTCAACATGGTCAATGTAAAGTGAAAGCAGTCCACGTTGACATCAGGCCAGAGGTTAGTATCATTCTATTAAAAACTGGAAACTACCCAACAAGAAGGATCTTCAACATGACCACTAGACTGACTGACTGAGTTTAGTTTTACGCCGCTTTTAGCAATATTCCAGCAACATCACGGCAGGGGACACCTGAAATGGGCTTCACACATTGTACCCATGTGGAGATTCGAACCCGGGTCTTCGGCGTGTCTAGCGAACGCTTTAACCACAAGGCTACCGCCCCATGACCACTAGAACATTTAACAATCTCACTAAGCACTTAAGAAAGTGATGCAGAAGTTGTTACAGTCTGGCTTTGAGAAAAGACAATTTTTTTTTTATTAAAATAGCATTGGATGCCTCAAAACATGAAAAAACGTAACAAGCAACTCACTTAGGTGATGCCGATGGGGATGAGGACTCCTGTGAGGCAGTGGAGCTATCCACGGGAGGTGCCTCTGTCGACACAGTGGAGGCAGTCGACTCATCCGTTTCCTTCACTTCTGCTTGGCTTCTCTCCTTCTCTGCACATACATCCTGCTGCCCCTTAGCCTCAGCCTTTACTTCATCCACTTTCTTTGCCTTCTCCTTCTTCTTCACTTTTTTCTTCTTCTCTGTCTTTTCTTCAACTCCTTCACTGTCTGCAAGTCCCGCCTCTTCCTCCTGTTCAAGGTCATTCACCACAGATATTTCTGAACTTTGCTCAACAGGTGCCTGATCTGACACTGCATCTTCTGTATCTCCAGGAAACGACTGCATCTGAGATGGGGGACCAGCTTCCAGGTCATCAGAGCTGACAGGTGTCTGAGAACAGGATGCAGGAACAGATTCTACAGGATTTGCAAGAGACTGAGATTGGGCATCTGTATCAGATTGCTCAACACTGGCTCTTGGCTGCGGTGGTTCTTCGGGATTGACTGAATCTTCTGGTACTTCTCTTGCATCAACCACTTCCTCATGTGGCAACATCACATCTCCAGCAGGTGGATCTGAGCCTACATCTGCAGCTCCTTCAACAGCCTCTTGCTCCAATTCAGGAACATCTTGACCTGATGTGTTTGGAGCACAAACTGATTCACCCCCAGCAGGTAAATCATCCTCGCCAGGGCTTCCAAGCCCTTCCTCGGTGTGAGCTAGCAGATTCAGTGGGTCATCACAGGCACTCACAAACTCTCCCGAAGTGCTGAGGGGATCAATGGATACACTTTTTGGAATCACATCCAACATCTCGGAACTATCTTCCTGTTCCACACTGCCTTCTTCAGCATCACACCACTCATCCTCCAGGGAACCGTTGGACACATTAGCATCAAGGCTAGCTTTCTCCACGTTCAGTAGCATGTCATCTGATATCTTCACATCATTATTGTTCTCAAATGCAGGAGATCGTGGAGGTGAATGAGCGATCTTAGACTTGGGCTTAAAGGGATTAATTTCCTCATCATAACCACCAAATCCATCCAATTGGGGTGGTGTGTTTGGGATCTTTTTACGAGGCTTAAATGGGTCATCGACAGGAGGAGACTGTCCAAGATTGGTTTTGGATTGAAAAGGATTTGAACTTTCATCAAAGTCATCAAAATTAAATGAGTAGCTACCCTTAGGTACAGGCAGGGGCGAGCTGTGATCTCCAGATGCTGGGTCAGACATTGTGTGAAATAATCATTTCATGAGATAAAATTCTGCTGGATGTTCTGAAAGTCTCTGACTTTGTCTGAAACAAAAGATATACAACACTAAAAGTTGATTTTTTGCACTTATGTAAAACATGCTTGTTTGTCCAACAACTTTGACTTCCATATTATGATTTTACTACTAAAAGAGATATTTCCATACTCTGGTTTTAATGAGCATGCTTGTAGTCTATGAATTCAATTCAACTGGTTTATAATACATTCCAATTCATCTTATGGGCTATATTCAACATGTTTAACTTGTATGTGTTCCAATGTTTTGGATGTATTCAAACAGATGTTTCTCAAGTACATAGAAATCTAAACATTTGCTTAAACGTTTTGATTTTGACAAAACTGAGTTCATTGCATTCTTCTACCTTGATCAGTACAGAAACATTTTAACACAGAATGCCCAAGGTGTTGGAAACTGGCTTTCATTTCGGTACTCATGTCGAGAGGTACAGAGTAGCACCCAAGTACTCACAGATCTACACACACCCATGGTTAGTCACAAAAAATATTGTTTAGGGACCATAGCAACAAACTCCTTGGCTACACTCACTGCTCTTCACATTCCTTCCTGACTCTGCACTCTTTTTGTTTACATAGGTTTGAATAAAGATATGTTTCAGTGAACTTCAGTGTATGCAAGATAACTTTACACATGTATCTAAATACTTTTTGCTTTTGCCAGGTTCAGTACCCAGCTCGTGAGACAGAAGCAGTGCCTGGATAGTAAATCTGGACAAGCATGTTGAATTGTGTGATGAGTTGATTAGAAAACAACATGGAATGTCTGCTAGCCTCAATAACATATGAAGTGACATAGAAGGGCAAGTTAAATTGTCAGGATGTTTTACTGGTTCTCAAGAAACTACTACATTCAACCTGGTGTCGTGGGATTGTGCTATTTTCCATCCTTGCTCAGTGACATGAAACCTTCACTCACTGCACATTATCATTCAATGATCCAGAGATTTGTGTGATGAAGACAAAAACCCTGAAACGCACGATCACTATAAAACATATTTCATTTTGACAGCTGTTGTTTTAATGATGCTCATTCATGCTCCGCAGAAACTAAAAGATCAAATATATCTATCATGACGTTGATGACACGATTCAAGAACTGACCACCTCGCCAACAGCAGGTGAGGACTGCATTCAGTATTTCTCATTGAAGCTCATTGATTCGAGCCCTGGAATACATTTACGAATGGAGAAGAATAAAAGGATCACGTACTATACTTTTTCAGAAACATATGGGTTTAATCAACAGTTATAAAACATGATGGAATTCTGACAGGTCGCACCCAAACATTCCATCACTGTTGATATATTTGACAGCCAGATCGGCAGGACTTGTACGCTATATTGAGAAAAAATTCCTTGCTTAGATACATCATGATTGAACGTTATGGCTTACAGCATTCAGGAACTCTCAAATGTCGCTTTTGTTGTCATCGATGAGGAATTTACCAAAAAAATACAAATCTTCTCTGCATCATTTGATGATTTGTCAGTCACCAGTTAACGAGAGTGATTAAAGGGAGATAACTCTATGGGTCGAAACATTGAAGTGGCAGTAAAATCTTATGTGGCCATGTAAAGTACGAAACTGTTACTGAGGTCTTTGAATGACATTTAGAAGTGATACACATGAATATGTCAACTTCTTTATTTTGAGGAAAACAACGTTTCGAAGTATACTTTTACTGGTTGCGTAAACGTTTGATAGTATAATCCATTAAGTCATTTTACACTCTCGCATAAAAACAGTAGGAAACACCTTCGACTGCTTCTAGAAACTTCAACGGTAAACGAAATGTACATAATAAGGACTGACTATAAGCGACTGGGGGTGTTTATCAATGTGTCAGACGTTCCTCCGTCACCATTAGCCTGTCTCCTAGTGTCCGAAAGAACAGTCTTGTCTCCCAGATCCTACAATACATATTAAAACGAGTTCAACTGAAATCTTCAATGATCGTGCAAGTCTATATTGCCTCAACCCAAGCATTAATTCTAGCTATAAGGCGGTTGTATGTAAATAATCGAGTTTGGACCAGACAATCCAGTGATCAACGACATGAGTATCGATCTACACAATTGGGATACAGTGACATGCGTCCAACCCTGACAAGTGTATCTCTTGCATACACGCCAAAGGTGTACACACTGAGTGAGTGAGTTGGGCTTTATGCCGCTTTTAGCAATATTTCAGCAATATCACGGCGGGTGACACCAGAAATGGGCTTCACGCAATGTACCCATGTGGGGAATCGAACCCGGGTCTTCGGCGTGACGAGCGAACGCTTTAACCACTGTATGGCGCTAGAGAGTTGTTGCGAGCTCATGTTCTCACTTCACAAACATGTTTCGAGCCTGATCTTTTTCCAGTGTGCTAGATCTTTCGCCGAGTACAACACAACTTAACCTTTTGCTCAGAGCAGACCTGAACTCTATCTCCAGTCTGACGTTTGCTATTGTACTAGATTCAGGCACTCTGTTTGTGCAAAATTAGGTTCCAAGGCGAACACAAACAACGCATTTTCGAGCAAAGAAGGGGCGGTGGGGTAGTCTTGTGGTAATATAAAGCGTTGCTCGTCACACCGAAGGTACGGGTTCGATTCCTCACATGGGTACACTGTGTGAAGCCCATTTCTGGTGTCCCCCGCCGTGATGTTGCTGGAATATTACTAAAAGAGGCGTAAAACCATATTCACTCACTCACTCCAAGCAAAAAATCACTTCTCGAAATGTTGTTTATCACACTGTTTCTCCACGATCTGTACCATCAAATATGCTGACATAAGCATTTATAGCATCAGCTTCCAGTGGTCTTCCTGGTACGCTGACTCCATCCACATACAGACTCACAGTCTTAATCACTGATGACTGAAAGATGAAGCTGTTAAGAGAGTATTTACCATTAATAGAAGCGACAAACCCCTTTCCACATCCATAAGAAATCTGTTCTAAAAGCAGAGTCGATTGTACAGCTGGGACTCTATCATGATCAGATATTTGTTTCAGCTGTACGAGGTTGTTTGTAAACAAATCGAGTCTGGACCAGACAATCCAGTCTTTGTCACCATACGATACGATGACAGACTGACTGACTGAGTTTAGTTTTACGCCGCTTTTAGCAATATTCCAGCAATATCACGGCGGGGGACACCAGAAATGGGCTTCACACATTGTGCCCATGTGGGGAATTAAACCCGGGTCTTCGGCGTGACGAGCCAACGCTTTAACCACTAGGCTACCCCACCGCCCCATACGATGACAGAGCATGTGTTAATGAATCACTAGAAAATTTAGAAATTTAGTTGTCACTATCGACAAAGCTTACAATGTTGCGACTGGCAACAGGGTTGGACACATTGTCTATTGTGTGACTCAACTGAGACACTGGGATACTGGTTACATTCACTTCCGTTTTCGTGCAAGACTACAGAGCATTGGACTTTTGAAACGAGCTGGTTTGGGCCAAAATAAACGCTGTTAACTTTCAGTTTACAAACATGGAGATAGACATCTATGAGTTCGATCTTGGGTTCCTGCGCCGCTTTCCCACTGATTAAACACAATGCAGGTTATATTCTGTAAAATGTGAGAGTCATATCAGCACTATTGGCCAAGTATCGATGCGTAGCGGAGACATCTTCATATATTGGGGGCGGTGGGGTTGCCTAGTTCTTAAATCGTTCGCTCGTCACGCCGAAGAGCCGGGTTCGAATTCCCCACATTTCTGGTGTTCCCCGCCGTGATATTGCTGGAATGTTACTAAAAGCGGCGTAAAACCATACTCACTCATTCTTCATATATTGGACTGGATAGGTTCCCCACTTTGCTTTCGCTAATGAAGCTTCCGCACATTGCCAATCATGCATTGAGAACTGTCATATGATCTGTGCTTTCAATATCACTACTAATCTATACAACTTCCCGGAAAACTACAACTGAGACTACAACTGAGAGTGTTTGGCATCAGCCCCATAGTTCAGTAGTGCTTTAATCATACTTTTGTGAGCATAATGGTTGTTAGTGGATGAAACGAGCTGTCCCTGTAAGATAACCACCACTGAAACCACAGGGATTGTACGAAGACCTTAAAGTTGAGATGTGCTCACTTTTCGCCAAAGGTGTACCAGTGCGTGTTTACAAGACCTTACGTTTCACGTGGTTCCACGAGTGCGTCTCAGATCGATGTTATCGCTGCCGGAGTTACTCACTTGAAACTCTACTGGTGAAGAATCGTTGATTTGTGACAACTGACGAACACTGACGAAGTAATGTTGCAGTACACTTGTTTGGATACGGGGGTAATGTGAATAGATTAAGTGAGTGAGTGGTGAGTGGAAGTCGAGATTAAGTGTATTGGAAGTCGAGTAAATGTAAATTAATGCCAGTACGACATTCAAAGGAATTTCTCGAATTATGACTACCACTGTATCGTCAGCGTGGGTTATGATTTTCAGTGAAGATACCAGTAGTTCGCAGAAAGAAATATACAAAGTTCAAGTTTTCATTGGTAATCTTGTATAGAAATTTTTGTTTTTGAACCAAAGACAGAGTGTGCTAAAGTGGTCGAAGAAACTCAACCAAGCAGTTTAAATTTGACTGCACGAAATGTACAAGAAATATGACAGATTCGAGAAAAATATCTAGACAACCAGACGCTTATCATTCCCACCCAAAGCGGTCTTTCGACTTAAGAAGTGCAGAAGTAAAAAACACGCTTATATTCATCATAGTGGAACATGTTCGACACGTTCGTCAATTCGACACGTGGGGAGGTGATTGTGCTTCAGTCTGATACAGCGCACCTTGACGTTGCTCGTCGATTCAAAGTACATGGAAACGCTATTTGTCTGATAGAGGTTTTTTCTTCAAAACAATCAATGTCAACACAAAAACTCCACACCACTCGTTGCTCGAGTTGTTCAGTAGTATCCTTATCAGAAAATGTTTATGGGTTACACTTGGCCAACAAGATCCCCTGATTTTCCACCCACTGAACACATCTGGGGTGAAATGGTGCGTCGTGTCTGGTCCGACATCTCCGTCAAAACTTTTAAATAATACAAATGATGTTATCTAAAAACGAAACAGAAGCATTGGAGCAGAATACAGTCACCAAAACTGATGCCCTGGAGCACTTATGGCAGAATACAGTCACCAAAACTAATGCCCTGGAGCACTTATGGCAGAATACAGTCACCAAAACTGATGCCCTGGAGCACTTATGGCAGAATACAGTCACCAAAACTGATGCCCTGGAGCACTTATGGCAGAATACAGTCACCAAAACTGATGCCCTGGAGGACTTATGGCAGAATACAGTCACCAAAACTGATGCCCTGGAGCACTTATGGCAGAACACAGTCACCAAAACTAATGCCCTGGAGCACTTATGGCAGAACACAGTCACCAAAACTGATGCCCTGGAGAGCTTATGGCAGAAAACAGTCACCAAAACTAATGCCCTGGAGCACTTATGGCAGAATACAGTCACCAAAACTGATGCCCTGGAGGACTTATGGCAGAATACAGTCACCAAAACTGTTGCCCTGGAGCACTTATGGCAGAATACAGTCACCAAAACTAATGCCCTGGAGAGCTTATGGCAGAAAAAACAGTCACCAAAAACTAATGCCCTGGAGCACTTATGGCAGAATTCAGTCACCAAAACTAATGCCCTGGAGCACTTATGGCAGAAAACAGTCACCAAAACTGATGCCCTGGAGCACTTATGGCAGAAAACAGTCACCAAAACTGATGCCCTGGAGCACTTATGGCAGAACACAGTCACCAAAACTAATGCCCTGGAGAGCTTATGGCAGAAAACAGTCACCAAAACTAATGCCCTGGAGCACTTATGGCAGAATACAGTCACCAAAACTAATGCCCTGGAGCACTTATGGCAGAAAACAGTCACCAAAACTGATGCCCTAGAGCACTTATGGCAGAAAACAGTCACCAAAACTGATGCCCTGGAGCACTTATGGCAGAACACAGTCACCAAAACTAATGCCCTGGAGCACTTATGGCAGAACACAGTCACCAAAACTAATGCCCTGGAGAGCTTCTGGCAGAACACAGTCACCAAAACTAATGCCCTGGAGAGCTTATGGCAGAATACAGTCACCAAAACTAATGCCCTGGAGAGCTTATGGCAGAATACAGTCACCCAAACTAATGCCCTGGAGAGCTTATGGCAGAATACAGTCACCAAAACTAATGCCCTGGAGCACTTATGGCAGAATACAGTCACCAAAACTGATGCCCTGGAGCACTTATGGCAGAAAACAGTCACCAAAACTAATGCCCTGGAGCACTTATGGCAGAACACAGTCACCCAAACTAATGCCCTGGAGCACTTATGGCAGAATACAGTCACCAAAACTAATGCCCTGGAGCACTTATGGCAGAACACAGTCACCAAAACTGATGCCCTGGAGGACTTATGGCAGAATACAGTCACCAAAACTGATGCCCTGGAGAGCTT